AATTCTGATCAAAATGAGACATTGCCCAGCTCTACATGACATTTCTTTGCAAAGTTATGGAATTTACAAGAAAAGCCCAAATGTTCATTGTCAGCTCAAAGCTACAAGAATAAGAAGGAAAAAATTGATTTAGGGCTTTTATATCCAAACCATTGTCATATTCTGATTCAGCACATTTTTTTACCTATTACTCACTAGCTTAGAGCTAAAAAGCGAGGTGGCAGTTGGTGACCTTCCCTCGTCAGTAAAAGATGAAAAATTATTTCACATCAATTTAAGAGGCCAAATTAATTTAGATTCGTTTGTAGTAAAGTAGTTTACATCAGTTTCGCAGTTAAAATGAATTAGACTTAATTTCCAGGCTAAAATTAGCTCCAATTAGTTTGAAAAAACATTAATTTAAATTATTTTTAACTAAACTGGTTTGAATTAATTTATTTCGAATGAGTTCGAAATAACTTCGTGCTTTAAATTGCTTCAAATTAATTTCTACTCTGAAATTCATTTAGACTAATTTATTTCGAATTCCTTCGAAATAATTTTAACCTCTCAAATTGATGTAAACTAACTTCGATTGCTCAAGTTCATTTAAATAAATGTTTTTGTAATAGATTTGTAATAATTTTAATAATATAAATTAGTTTTAATTAATATTGAGAGTCGAAATTAATGTAGATTCGAATTCTTCTTCAGAGGTTACCAAAAACCTGTATTTTATGTGTCACTTCTCTTGACCAGACAAGAAATGCAAATATGTACTCATCTGTTGAACCCTCGCTCGCCTCCCGACTTTCATATCCTTCTACTGGAAGTTACAACCAACTCCATTGTGCTATGAAATGGAGAGTAGGAAGGGTAGTGAAGCAGATAGGAGAAACGAACACTTCGATTTCATTCTGCTTCAAATAAGGTTCAGAGCAGCAGAGGTTTGGGTGATGATATAGGTTTACTCACTTACTCATTCATCAACAAGATCAAATCAAATATCTTGGAGAAGATATTCTTTTCTTAGTGAGCAACAACTGTGGTAACGTCAGATCAAAACACCTACTTAAAAAGAAGATGATCGTTGCACAACTTTTGTTTTTTACAGACAAACTCTTGTAATTAGTCCTCATCATTGTGTTAAAAATCTTAATCTAACACTGAACTGCAAATATCGATACCTACTTTCTGCTCTAAAAAGCCATCATTTTTCGCGAAAACAAACATTTTGCTTGATTGTTCATCTATCACTCACAGATCGTTTTTATAGTCTTCTGTAAATGCGCCTTATTGACTGACTATCCACGGAGGATGTGTTTTTTTACTTATCTAACTGACAAATAGTCAATTTACCGGCTTTCTGAATGAGAACTGTTAGAACGTATTGGCAAGAAAGATTTTATCTTGATGTATAATTCAGAAGCGTATAAAAAACAAGTTCTAAGACAAAACAGTTAAAAAAAGTCAAAGTACTCCAGTGACAGATCGGGGATCCCAAGCTGAAAGTAAAGTAATATTAGCACAGCTATTTCGCTTCTACTTAGAATTCAGTCTTTTGTAATTGAAAACGAGCTCAGTTCTTCCACTGTGCTACAAACTTAGCTCAAACAGTGATACTTAAATTATCCATCGACCACCATGTGGAAGTTGGTGTAACCCATTGTAATGTATCTATACCGGACCAACTTAAAGTAATAAGTAATGGTGCTACCGTCGACAAAAGAACTGATGTATTATAAATGACACTGCTTGAATATAGTCCGCTGATTGTGAGTGATAAATTATTAACACTTGCAGCTGTTGCATAAAATGAGCTAATACAGAATACACCGCCTGTTATATTCGATGTGATAAACGTTGGTCGTCCCCACGCGTTAAAAGTTGAAAAATTACCACTTACAACACTGTGATAATTTCCAGTCGTATTTGCATATGCGTGTCCATTCCAGTAATAGGAATTATTGGCCCAATTTAGACCACCATAACCGTTAGGAATCGCAAGGGAACCAGTGGTACCAATGTCATCGAATGTTAAAGTAGATGTACCACTGCATCCTAATAGAAAATTGAAATCAGAAACTTCCGCTGCTGCACTAAATGGAATAAGCTTACCTGTGGCACTGGTAGTTGTATTTGTTGTTGCACTCACAGTAGCTGAAATCAAATAAGACACAAAGCAATAATAACTGCATAGGCTTTATAGAAAGTCCCTTTTTCTGTGAACTCTTTCTGTGAAGAGCAGCAGGTCAAAAGAAACCTGAAACTTTGTTCCCGACGTCTCATTCTATAGAGAAGTAAATAGAGTACAAGTGATGGCAATTAGAAATTTTCAAAGTCACTTCTGAGCTCTACAAAGTTTCCTTAAAAAATCGAGATTAATGAATCATCGAGCTGTCGTAAGTTTGATCTTTAAATTGCATAGATAGATGGCACAATGCACCTGTCACACAGTTAAGATCAGAACGAAGCAATACTTCTTACTTGGTTTTAACCACATCGCCAACAAAGTACCTAATGCTATACCGTCAAGTAGTAGTCCCACTGCTAAACCAAGTACAAATGATTTCCATTTTAGAGCACAGCATTTGCCAGCTTCTGCACTTCTAGGAGGCTTGTGTTGCTGTTCAGAGCCATCTTTCGCATGTGGATCACTCCATGCATCTGATTTCACCAGATAATTCGAAGAGGATGACTCAAATTCAGTGCTCCGAGTAGGGTCTGATGACCCGTTACTAGATCTTGCTGTAGTAAAAGTAATATTCGCCGGACGAACTGAGTCGCGTGTTGATGTTGAGAGTGCATTGAAGCCAAATGATGGATCATGTAACTGACTCGATCTCTGAGTTAGATATTGGCTTTGAAGAAAACTCTGATGACCTGCTAATTCACTGTTAGTCATACTCGAACTACGCACAAGTGATTGATTATTAATATTCCATTGCTATAGTATTCTTCGAGTAGTGAAAACATAGTTGCCACAACAATGAAATTAACAATGTACTTTTAGTCAAGTTCAAATCATTTGTTTGTATGCACGTTCTCATTAAAAAAGTGTGATTGAAACTAAACTTGTACTGGTTCTCTGCATTCTCATTTCAATATTTAAATTTCATGTACATGCGCAATATATTTTTCAAGAAGTTATTGTTTTGCAAACTGATGACTTATTAAAAATACTTTTTGAAGGAAGAAATATATTGAGGCATACACACACATTTCTCACCTACAATGTTCTGCAAGCAGCGAACGAGACCTTGCTTTTCGTTATTATAAAGATGACAAACTACCTTTAGTAGTTAAAGTTGGCCTGCGGAAACATGTCGACTGTTCTATATCTTGATTTTCACTTCACACAAAATTCATATCCAAAAAAGTCAACTCATAACTATCGAGCAGAGCGGTTTTTTAGCATCGCAGTCCTGATTCTAAAAGAGAAGAAGTTGGCTCGCTACCATAAAGAACAAAAAAAGTTACACTTAAGGTCATGTTTCTATGTAACTGGCATGAAATTATAATTCTTTGTACAGTATACTAATAGTCTTCGAACTCTAATTTTCTGCCTGTTACCGTCCTAAAACAGATTCACTCTCGCTTTTTTGGTAAAAGAACAGACAAACATAGTTAGCACTAACTTACTATTCT